GTTGAATTAATTAAGAGAGAAAAACGTCTTCTTGATAATTAAATTGCGGACCATTTAAGGTGTCTCTGGTTTTGTTCATCATTATTTGTCACGCTTATTTGACAGGACATATTATGAGACAAGACAAAGATAAATGGAGGAAAAAAGCGATGGAATGGATTCTTCGCTATGACAACAGAAAACGAGGAAGACAAAAAAAGAGATGGGTCGATGATATAACGTCGCTGTAGAATGATAACCTCGTATGTCCAGAGAACCAAACAATACAGGAAAGGAAAAAAATTGTTCCATTTCGTCAATGTTCGTTAAAATATTATTGTCCACAGTTTTAGATGGTAAAAAGGACTTATTTATTAATAACATAAATAAGTCCTCACTTCATGATTATACCAGTTAAATGACATAAGAGTCTAAGAATAAAAAAGAGGGGTTTGACATACCAGGTAATCATTCTACAGTGGCGATAAGTAGAGCAGCTTGCCCTATGGCTACGTAAAGCTAGACACCGAGAAGAGTGGAAGCTCTTAGAGGAGGCCTATGTCCAAGGACAAGCTGTAAATCTGAAATTGACCGGCTTGCCGATTAATTATTAGTGTTGATAGTACTTCACATTTTTACAGTAGGATAAGTATTTTAAAGCAATAAAGGCTATTATTATTATTGATCACGCTTTTCGAGGGCAAATAGAACAGGGGGCAAACGGACACTTGATGTTAAGTGATACCGTCTACGGACACTCATTGCCTGAGGACTCGCGAGTGCGTTGCCGCCCTTTAAAGAATTGTTTGACTTACAAAAAACTGTAACTTATTTATGGGTTCTTAAATCTAAGTGACACTTCTGTTACCTCTAAAGAATATAATTTTATTATTAAGTCGCCGTTCAAGTACTATTCAATATCTATAAATATATCTATACTAGTAATATCAATACGTTTATGTACTATTATTGTTGAGAGCTTTGCTTACTTTTGCTGACAAGAGGGGGGGAATAAATTGCAGTAAATCTGCCTATGTAATACTTGAACGGACTCTAATTAATATTTAGACTCGGCCAAGCATTGCTGTGGCTAAGATTTTTGTTATATTACATAGTAGTAAACTATTCAAGAGTAACGGCAGGAGAACACCAATCCACCATGCTTTTTTGGTGGTTATGCCATTACATTGTAGCTTATGTGAAACGTTGGTATTTATTTTTATAAGGATCAATACTTAGGTACGAATAAAGAGCCTTTTCTAGCGGTGGTATTTTAATAATAAAAAAAATAATAATAAAAGGACGCTTATCGTGACGTAACTATAAAAGATAGAGACATGCTGTCGCGATATTTTTTATAGATAGTGATGTTTCCTGAAAAAATTTAAAACATCATTTTGTTCTATCTTTAATAGTTTTCGTAGCGCACGCGATTGAAGGAAGTTTTTTGTTTATTTTTTTAGACCTTGGGTTAGATTATTCAAGTTTTCGTAAGCATCCCTAATTTTTTTGAAAATGAAACAGTGAGCCTATGTCACTCGGGAATAGTGTAGCTTGCCAACGGTGAAAGAATTTTTGAAATCGCTCCAGTAGTTTTGGAGCCTATTCATTTCAAACAAACAAAAAATCAAACCTTTCCTCTTTATAATATTAGTATAGATATACTAACTCTTTACGATAAGGGAAACGAGAAAATCTATTAGATTTTGTCCCGTTCTAACAGTTAAATAGTCATATATTTATCTCGCTCGCAGCCTCCTATCGATCGCGCATGTGACCCTGACCCTGTGGGTAAACAGCATCCTGACCTTGCTCGAAGGGAATTCTCGAACTTTGAGTCGTTTGAAACAAGGATTTTGTGCATTTCTCTTATTATAAAGACTTTCTGCCAAGCCCAACATATACTAGGCCCATATAATATATTGGCTAGGGTCTAAGGGCATGGGTCGGCCTAGGTACTGCTGGATCGACAGAGAGGACCTGCTGCAGCTGCAAGCGAGTAATTGGCAGGAGGTAGCAGGTCAGGGAGTGCAGGAAGTTTTTCATTTCGGAGGTCGCAGAGCCAGCGAAGTGTGAGACTTACATTCACCATGATGGCTGGAAGTCTTCCACGGTCCGCTTCACAAGACAGTTTCTTTGAAGCCAACTGTGGTGACTTCTGGCGGGTGTTTCCCTGGAAGATACGACCTCCAATTGTTTTGTCCCTTCAAAAGCCTTAAAAAATTGATGACCATGGACTGTGATGACAGCTCGTTGGGTTCCCGTAGCAACACACACACATGAACACACAAAATAACAATAATCAAAGTAAAAAAATATAAGGAGAGATATTAAAAAAAAGTTTTTTCCCTTTTCCAATTCGGTTCGTTACAAGTGTGTAATGCGTGTGTGCTGTGGTATTGGTTTTGACTTTGGGCCGTACCTTGTAATAATATTTATAATAAATGTTAAGCTATTATAAATTAATTTGCCGCGCCCCACAATAAGGAACCAGCTGCCCACTGAAGTATTTCCGAACCAATTCGACTTAGGGTCAGGGTCCTTCAAACGTACCTACCTATTCTTGACAAAGCAACGTAGCAAGCCTTTTGGGAGACGTTTTAATTTAACATCAGAAGAGCGTCCTATCCGTTACTAGCGTTGTATTAAAAATATTTTATTTAATTCACGTAAACGATAGTATAGAGCAGTGTTGGCCTGGTGGCTTCAGCGTGCGTCATTCCTGAGGTCGCAGGTTCGATCCCCGGCTGTGCACCAATGGACTTTCTTAGTGCGCATTTAACATTTGTACGAACGGTGAAGGAAAACCGACATGTCATAGACCCAAAAAGTCGACCGCGTGTGCACTGGAGGCTGATCACCTACTTGCCTATTAGATTTAAAAATGATCATGAAACTGATTCAGAAATCTGAGGCCAAGACCTAAAGAGGTTGTAGCGCCACTGATTTATTTATTTATTTACTAAACGATAGTATTACATAACCGCAACCCGAGTTGCGTATAGTTAATAAATTAACGAAATTCCAAAATAGCTTCCCTGGATACAATTTAACCAGAAACCATAGAAGTGAGATTAACGTAAAATCGCAAAGGAATTATAATCTGCTCATCGGTCACGTGTCAATAGTCAAATGTCACTTTCATATACTAGCTTTGTTTTAGAAGCTTAATATTGCATCTCTTCCCTGTATGTATATTTTAGAAATGTTCATATTCGTTCTCAAAAACATAAATATTTTTAAGTCAAGGGAATGGACTGTGGAAGTAGACTTGGGGAGAAATTGGCTATGCATAAAATGAATCTGAAATTGTATTGGAAAACACGTTTTGTATGGCAATCAAGGCTTTTAATAATTTATCAAAAACATTCAAAGATCTTCCTATTAGACTATAAAAATCAATTTTATGGACTACTTTTGAAAAAAATGTATTACTCTATTAATGATTACTTGCGTAAAACATAATTTGATAACGTAATAATGTGATGATGTAGTGATAAGAACTTATATTAAGATTGTACCACCATAAATATTTTGTACCATATTCTTGCTAATCATTGACTAACCAACCAAAAACGCAATACAAGCTAGTCCGTACTAATGCATAAATATCATGGAAGAGCTGGGAACCCTGTCACAGGTGTTTTTATACTTTAAATGGGTTCCCAAATCTTACCCATAGTAATTCTTTTTTATAATGAATTAATAAATTTTTGTTTTATTTTATAGTCAAACGAACAAACGCGATACGACTCTGATTCCATACGATTGGCTACCACCACCCTAACATATCTTGAAACTCTTCTTCATAAACATTTATTAACCATGTCCTATCCTTCTCCGAGGGAGTCGGTACGGAATAAGTTTAAGGAATTAAATATTATGACACTATCTGGTCAATATATTCTTGAAGCCTTGTTGTATGTCCAAAAAAATATAAACGATTTTAAAACAAATGGTGACTTTCACCAGTATAATACGCGAAATAGAACTAATTTGAGTGTAAGACCAACCAGGCTCCAAAAGATAAACCACTCCTTATATGGAAATTGTATTCGTTTTTACAACAAACTCCCAATTCCAAACTCCGAAAATTAATCTACAAAGCTTTTTATAAATTTGAGGACTACTTAAATGATCCTAATCCTTGGGATTGAATTGCTCCAGTTCAAACAATTTGTATGACAATACTTGGCGATTAAAAAGAGTGGCGGAAAGTTTCTTACCAGTTCTTCTTACCCGCTCTACGCCCTTGACTTGCGAACTGGTAGTAAATGTAAATTTACGATTAATTTAACTTGACGATTCAAAAGTGTACTTGGTTACCCACTTGAATAAAGATATTTTGAGTTTGAGTTTACTCAATTGTGACTTTTATAATACTTGTATTTTTCATTCTTTTTCTTCATCGCAATTCATGAATCCGCGAGATTAGCATTTTACTGTATTTTATATTTTTTTTTAATATTCTAGACCAGCTGGTTGGACCAGCGACTTCGTCTGCGATTAGTATTTCGAGTAGCCTCTATTAGCGTTGCGTAGAAGAAAATGGCCAAAGATAATCATTTATATCATACCTACATTACATAATATGTGTAACTCGAGCGGTTTTGTTAGCGCACGCCAGAATAGCTCGCAGATGGTAGATTGTTTCCTACTTACTTGATATTTTGTACAATTCACAATACACGCGTTAGAAGTTGTACTTCAAGATAAAAAAATTATCTTCCGCCTTATTCTACGTTTGTAGAAAAAACGACACTAACATTAGAAAAAACTTATAATACATGGAAAGTTTTATTATAACGCATTAAATTAAATAAAGTTTATTTAAATATCACATAAAAATTAAAATGTTGACTATAGCTAACTTCAGGGTGTCGGTTTTTTGTGACGGTGTGCGCGCGCATCGTAAAAATTTACTCTCATAATATAACGAAGAACTATAACTTCAACAATTAAAAAGATGGATTAATAAAAGAGCCAATACTATATATTATTTGTGTTTCAGGGCAGTGCGGATGTCGGGCGGCGGCGGCGCGGGGCTGATGTCGTGCGTGCGTGAGGGCTCGCTGGAGCCGCCTTACCGACCGCCGCACGCCGACAACCACACACATGGTAGGTATACCAGATAAAGATTTAACTGGACATTATTGCCGGTGCCTCATACATTAGTATCTTAAGACCAACTGCCTTAGGGGAATTGAGAGACAAATTTTAGTATACATCTGTATATATAACTCGCTGACACCCTTTTGAACCCTGAATCACTTCGCATTCGCTTAGGTGTGCCCATAAGTGTCCCTGCGGCTTTCAAACAAGTAGAATTGGACACCATAGCCTCCATTGCCAAAACGACATCATACGCCGCTCTCTTGCCTCTTGCCTTGGGAGCCCACAGGTTGGAGATGATGGTATGCGGCCGGATGGGATGTCAAACCAAAACTTAAAATAACTTTATATATAGGTAACCAAGTACACTCATGAACGTCAACAGAAACAATGTTAAATTCATTCTAAATTAACATGTACTCCCAGTTCGCAAGTCAAGAGCGTAGCGGCAAGAAGAATTGGCAATAAACTCTCCGCCACTCTTTTTAATCGCCACGTTTTTGTTTTACACAACGTTTGTAAAAAGCTGCAACCATTACACCATGTTTCACATGACTTCTTAAAAAATAATACAAAGCAAAGATTTTTTTCTGTATCAGCAGTAGGCATGGTGAAATAGGAGCACGCGCTTATATTCTCGTGGGAACAACACGCAAAAAAATACATTAAATTTTATTAAAATAAATTATAACATTTTAGTAAAACGCAAGAATATTACGTTACTTATACGAAAGCAATTTGACCGTGGTAGATGGCTGACCTCGGTGGTCTTGGTGGTTTATTAAGTCTGTACCAATTTTAAAAGACCGGCAACGTAATTGCAATTGCGAGTCCTCTGGAAATGTGAGCGTCTGGAAGTGGTATCACTTAACATCTGGTTCAGACAGGTGGCTGCCCGTTTGCCCCCTGTTATAAAAAAACATCCTGCTCTTTTTCTTTGGTATTCCCTGTTTGATAGAGTCTGAAGAAGAGTAGGTGTGGCGTTTCTAGCCAAGGTCCTATGAAACGGCTTTGCTCATAATTTTTATGTGTGTTCGGTAGGTCTGAGAATAGGTCGTATTTTATCCTCACTCTTCTAAAAAAATAAAGTAAATCAGTGGCGCTACAACCGTTCTTTTAGGTCTGGGCCTCAGATTTCTGTATCTGTTAATCTATTAGGCAAGTAGGTGATCAGCCTCCTGCCTGACACGCTGGCGACGTTTACGTCTTTGTGGCGACGTTTGGTCTAAGGCAAGCCGGTTTCCTCACGATGTTTTCCTTCACCGTTCGAGCAAATGTTAAATGCGCACATAGAAAGAAAGTCCATTGGTGCACAGCCGAGGATTGAACCTACGACCTGAGGGATGACCGACCTCTGCTCGAAATTCTCACTCTTCTACCAACCAAAATTTTAGCAATATTACTGTAATAATCTTCATATGGCAAAACTCGGCCAGATATAAATTATATGTGACCTGTATTTTTCCAGGCGAAGGTCGCACTGGTCGGTTTCTGCGCGGCTTGCGCCGTATGTTCAAGCGGCGACGCGTGGACAGCTCTCCGGACCCTAAAAGCAGTTCTACCAGCGAACTACTTGATGCTGAACGGCAGACCAGGAGAAAGTAAGTTTTATATATTGATTGAAAAATTTGTTTTCATTTTCTATACATTCACGAACCCAAGAGTAGAGAGAAAAAAAGTACATATTTGAAACTTAATTTAGGAATGTTAAAAAAATATTGAAAAAAAACTGGTAAGTATCCTTTATTCGATATAATAGCTGTGTTTTTTCTCTTTTATATTAAATATATTATAACGATCAATGCATCTTACAATTAATTATACATATATATGTTTTTTGTAAAAGTATGTAATAGTTAACTGTGTTTTGTGTTTATGTTTGAATGTGTATTCCGTTTTTGGCTTTTGTATATATATAATTGTTTAGATGTAGTAGTAAGTAGCTGGAGGAACTAATAAAGTTATCAAAGTGAGAGAAAATGATGATGAGGTAATAAAATTTTTTTTCCAATTATCTGGAGTCGTTTAGAAGTTATGCGCAGAATTTTCTACAATAATATGTATTTGCCCCTACACAGATCAAATACATTAAATACGCAGGTCGAATTTAAAAAAAAATATGTTTATTAACGGAATATAAGATACAGGTATCACTTATTCCTCGTCATTAAATTTGTATCGCAGACTATCCTACTCATCGGCAAAGAAGGCAGAGGGTGTAGGCCGAGAGAAAAAGCCGGCGTAAAAAATCGGTACTCTTTTAAAATAGCAAATCATTAAACAACACTTATTTTAAAACAAATATCGCAAATTAATTAGAAGTAGCCTGTCTAGCGCTAGTCCCAGACCCTTTTATCAACTAGATAATCGTTAACTTTAAAGTAAGCCTTTTTACACAGCTTTTCTTTAATACATTTCTTAAATTTATTAAAAGTCAGAGATAAAAGAGGCTCTGGGATTTTATTAAAGAAAAGTATCCATTTTCCCAAAAAATAATTACTACGAGTAACTTTAGATAGTCTAGTACGGGGAAATTGCAGCCTGGGTTTGTTCCGAGTATTAGTTGTGTGGCTGATGCCCTTTAACTTATAAACACCATATAACAATTTTACTTTTTCCAAAGCATCAACTTAAACAATAACATACATTTTTACTTAAATTTCTTAGGCCTGCCATTGTTGTTACCACTTCTCTTTCATGCGCTGATCTTCTCCTTTCAGCAGCTCGTCTTCCCATCTCTTTATTTGACGGCCTCTTCTCCTCCCATCTCTGTGAAACCATTCTATGGCGTCTTTTGTGTAATGTTAATTATTTCAGAAACATCTTTTATAGTTGACAACAAATTCTAAAGAGGAATGGAAAGAAGCATGGTGGGTGAAACACTGAGTAAAAAAGCAGAAGAGATTATAAAGAAAATAAGGCAATTGAAATGGCACTGGACCGGGCACATGACGAGAGATAGCAGGCTGAAATGCACACAGAATGGCAACCACGAGATGGAAAAAGGAAAAGTGAAAGATAGACGATATAAAGAGAATAGGAGGCACAACTTGGACAAGAAGAGCTAACAATAGAAAAGAATGGAAGCAGCAGGAAGAGGCCTATGTGTCACCGGACACATTAAACTGCTTAAAACCGGCAGATCTGATGAATTATATTAAGTTAGGTTACGTGACTTAAACTTGACTTGACTTGTATGTATATATATATTATTAGCTGACCCGGCAAACGTTTGTTTTGCCATGTATATTATTTCGAAATACATTGTTTTAGTTCAATAAAAATAATTATCTACAATAATAAAAAATAGGGGTTGATCGTAGAGTGATGCAAATTATATGTATTTTTGTATGCTGAATCATGAAAAAAATTAAAACAAAAAAATTCGTCTAAAAAATAAAAACACTTGTTTTGGGCGTACACTTCTTATCACTTAGGAATTTGGAAGATAGATAGTATCCGATTCTCAGACCCACTGAATTTGTATAAAAAATTCATAAGAATCGGTTGAGCCGTTTCGGAGGAGTATGGGAACAACACGAGAATTTTATATATTAGATAATGGGTGTCAACAATAAAGGCTTAATATATAATAATTAATAATAATATTTTTAATAATCTTTGTATGTAGTTTATGAGGCAATTAGTAAATAAATGTTAATATGTTATATTTTCAGAGAGGGCATCTACAGCAGTGGTCTGTCAGTGTCTCACGACTCCGTGTTCACTGGCGAGCGATCTGGCGACGAATCGAGCGACGAAAGACCGACTCCTGCGCATCCTTTGGCCGTTGCCACCTCACACAGGGTATGTAATGTTAATTATTAATTAATCTGTTCAATTATATCATAAGATTGAAATAGACAAGTTTGAATAAGTGCACGTTAGCCTAAACCGTGGTAAGTGAAAAAATAGAACAGAAGAACAGAGTGTCTTTCTTTTAATAGTGTAATTGGTCGCATTATGTTAAATATATTTTTTTAGTCAATTATTTTAGTTTTAAATTACTTATTAGCCTCAAGTATTCGTAGATCGTAATGTTCTAATTTAATTTAATTTGAAACTTATAATATTTAAAGACATAAATCAATTTAAATACGAATATTGAATATGACAAAGTTAAGTCTTATTATTATTATTAATCCTATTTCCAACTATGAACGTTATGGTGAGATTCTGAAACAAGAAAGCATCCCATGAATTCCGTATGTTGAATCGGTCGGTTCGGGTCTACCGCGTTGTAGAAAATCGCGTTGTAGGATTATTCTCGTTAAACCTTTTTTTGAACAATTCAATAATAATCGTTTTTAATTATAAAATTAAAAATCGCGCCATCTATTTTCAATAATGTAATATATTAAGTTAATTGACGTAATAAATGAATTTAAAAATATATAGCTAAATATAATATAAAAAATCTTTAAATATAATATTGAAATCGGATAAATTTGTAAACTGAATAAAAACGATAGTGAATAGTGAATACATATTTTAAGTACAACGTAGTTCCTGGTAGTAGAGACAGATGGCGCTAAATCAAGTTTAAAATTTATAAGAATTTTGTGTTACATACAATCTAAATTATTATTTAAGCTCATAAAACTTTTGTCATGTCTATTGTCTATACTATATGTATAGATAATTTAAAAAATTGTCAATTTATTAAAGAAGAGCGCCAGATAATGCAGTACGCTGCAACTTTTCAAAGGAGTTAAACAATTCAACGGAATGTATGTATGCCTAGATGTATTTCATTCGAAAGAGCCAAGTTCTAAAAACAGTCTTATTTTGGTATTTCTGTCGAAATTCTGAATCAAATTGTAGGAAGTATGGTGGGGAATATAAAAACATAATCGTTTTTGGTGTACACGACTGCTACATTTTTAAATATTCTCTTTAATTGATATAACAGAGAGAGGAGGGTAAAGTAGAGTATACTTCTCCATCAAAGGCCGGCAACGCACGTGTTCACACGCAAGTGTCCACGGGCTGATATAACTGCCCTTTTTGGGCTTCTCGTGGGCTCAATTGCCTCCCTATACGAGTACTATAAACGAGTTCATTACATTATTACAACTCGTCAATCGTGGTCATCGAAATTAAAATAAAATTTAATTTAATATTAGCGCCACCTTAAATTGGTATTATTACTGTTATTCTGTTTATATTGTCGCTTTCCTTTACACATAACTGTTTCTTATACCATTAAGAATAACTCAGGTAGCAGATGTCACAATTAAAATAAAAAACTAACAGGTATTAAAAGGTATAATAAAGGCAAAAGAGAAAAACAATTAAGAAGGTGGATAGACTTTTTTTTTTATCCGAGGTGGAAATGCATTAGAGGATGCGCTCTGCCCTTAAAGGTTGCAGGGATATGTGGGACTCGACCCACGCCAAAATCTCTGCTATTCAGAGACTGGGTAAGCAATACCCACTAAAACCACCTCGACTAGTTCATACAAAGCCGCGTTAAAGAGGCTCCGGGGTCGCTGTCGCATTTTACCAGGACCTCAACAGTATGTTACTCTCTCTCCCTTTTCTTCGACAAAAACATTATTTGACGCTAATATTATTATTACTGCGTTTCATCCGTAAAAAAATTACCCTCAAGCGCCTAAAGAAGTTTCACTTCAAAAAAACAGCACGTACATGGCAGAGAGTGGCACAGTGCAGACAAATGTGGGATATATCATATAAATGTGGCCTTTGCCAAAGAAGGGTTTATACCTAGGAAATAATGAGATGATAACAAGCATTCTAGAATGTAAAATCGCGTTTAAAAATGATTTATTAACGACACTAAATAGAAAGTCTCCAAAAGCACATGTCACGATAGAAAATACACAAAAACTAAGTGAAATCAACACAAATATCTGCAATACAATAAAGTTGGTACCAATGACAGATTTGGTTATACGTACACCTTTGGGTTCGTGGATTCAATCCGAACAATAAACTCTTGCTTACTAGAAGGGAACTGACATCGTCGAAAGTTAGCGGCATGTCTTGTCAATTGTCACTGACTTGTCATATTTTTGACATACGTACCATTCCTCTTTGCACTGTGCCACTCACTGCCATGTACCACCTGCTGTTTCTTTAATTTGGTGTATCCACCTTCTAAGTTGTCTTCCTCTTTTTCGTTTGCTGTACCTCATACTTGTGAACGCTTGCTGCTTGTGGTGACTGGTCGGACTTGAATACGTGTATGCGATGATGTTAGTTATTTTGACTATGTGTTTATGTGTTGTTCCTACGAGAATGTAAGTGCGTGCTCCTATTTCACCATGCCTCCTGCTTATAGAGGACAAGTCTTTGTTTTTAATTTATTTTATTATTATTAATTACTTAAGATGTCATGTGGAACATGGTGTAATGGTTGCAGCTCCTTACAAACGTTGTGTAAAACAAAAAACTTGGGGATTAATGAGTGGCGGAGAATTTATTGCCAGTTCTTCTCTTCTGTTCTACGCACTTGATTTGAGAACTGGCAGTAAATGTAAAATTAGAAGCATTAATGTATATTTTTGACGTTCATAAGTGTTCATTCTGTTACCTAATGAATACGCTCATTTTGAATTTTGAGAACGTTTCTAGCAGGTAAATGTGCTATTTGCTAAAAGCATTTCCCACTAAGGAACACGGTTGACTAGAAATAAATATTTATATTTCACGTCTGTTCACGTTAGTGCTGATTACATTTTCCTGTTAACGATTAACAAAACTGTGAAAAAATGATTTTTGAATTCTCAGCCAGTCCTCGAGCCAGGTTGCTCAGTTGGTTAGACTTGGCCAAGGCGTTTTAGAAACTTGTTGTTGTGCTTTTTCCTACATATTATGTATTACATGTATATTTGTGGACCCATGCGACTTCAATCCCTACAATCCCCATGTGAGTTGTGCTGCGATATCGCGGGCTACTCGATTGTGAGGAAGTTGCATGGATCAGCTGGCGCCTTCTTAAGGACCTATCTGGTCGCCAAACTCCAAAAAAGTACATTGTTTCTTTCCATTTTTCGTCATCGTTTCTTGAAGTAGGGCGAATGGAAAAAATATATGGTGGAGTTGAGTTGTTTATGTATCCATTTTGAAAGATTGATACACGATTTAAATAACTTCGATGATAGAAAAAAAATCCAAACATAGCCAATTTTTGACACTTTGAATTCATTTTATGACGAAAATGTATATAGAACATGATTTTGTTACACTATATATTTTATCGCAAACCAAGCAATCCATTGCAGAAAAAAATGGGTAAAATTACATTAATTTAATGTTTTTCATAACTAATTGTTGTTACGGGCCTGCGCGCTTCAGTGCTCCAGCTCTCCACTGCGCCCCGCAGTCCACCCCGAGACACTGACACAGCAATTCGTGCTGGGATAGGACCTTAAGTTCTCTCATATTCACACGTGTATATCCTTTGTATAACATATTATTAAGTATTTGATTATCCAGTTTATAAAGGCAGCTCAAAAGGCCGAATATTAAATCAATGATACTCAGATATCTGTGTCATGTTAATACTGGAATTAAACATGCCTTTAGATTGCACCTTAACCGTCTGGAATCAATCAAATGTCTTGCAACCATTCAAAACGTGGCCAGAAATAGATTTTCTTTTGTTTATTAGCAATTGATATAGTCTGGTCCTTGATTGTATTTGAGCTTTTTGAAGTTAAATAGTATTAATAACTGATTAGCTAATATACGTTTTATTTTCCTGTTGTCATAGGTTCATGTGACGTCAAATAATTTTGCAAACCCAAACACCAATGTCGTAACGCTATTTTCAACCTTAATATATGTGTAGAGGGATCAAAATAGCATACGGTATGTTGAGACGAGATCCCATTAGATGCGCGAATGTACTTGTTTTCTCTGACTCATGCAGTCGCCAGCCTCCCGCGCCGTGGGCCGCCGGTGTTCGAATTTCGAAATTATTAAATCGTGACAGTTATACGCGAGGTCCAGAGGTTTTATTGCTTTTTGAATTTCGAATTTAATTCGCGAATTGCATTTTTGAGTGTTTAAATTTCGAATGTGATTTGTTACTTAAAAGTTGTTTTTAAATTTCGAATGTTTTCTAAACACTTGTGCCGTAACGTATTTTCGTGATTTTTATATTATAGTGATGTCAAGTGATGGCATTGATCAAGCAAGATTCGTATAAGGCAATGAGCTTTATATGACTCATTCGCGTCAAATCAATAGCTATACGGCATTGGAGTTTATTAAAATGGATTGCGACAAAAAAAGTCTACTGAGGATCGTTATGTATGTTTTAAACATACTTCAAGGTTTTAAAGAAACAAAAATACAAAATTATAAGTGCTTAAAAGCTCCTCGAGTATAATTAATATTTAAAGTTTACCAATAGTTTACATACAAGGTTTAAACTCTACTTACGAATTAATATATCGTATTGAATTTGTGATGTGTCAGTATTAGAAAGGAAACTAATTTAAACAGAATAAGTAACTAAAATGAAAGAATGACAAAGTGATATTTCGTCATGAACAAACAATGTCGGATTTGAAAAAAAAATCAAAATCGACTTTTTATCATATTTGGATACTACATTGACTAAATATTACGGCTACATTAAAAATTCATCAGTCGGTAAACGGATTTGATAGAAAAGTGGTTTTTCAAGAAAACTGTGTAATTTATTGTTATTATTTTTTATTTTGTTTCAAAACAAACCCTTTTGTTTGCTTGTATGCCAATTTTCATAATAACAGATTATGAACTACAATATTTATGACATAAACTAACATGATTATATTATTTAAAAATGG